TTTTTTTCTTTTTGCTTATGTGGTGCTGAGGAATCGAACCCAGGGCCTCAGGCCTGCAAGGCAAGCGCTCTACCACTGAGCCACCTTCCCAGCCCGATATCCTAATCTTGAAGACTGCACAAATTACCTTTTGTATTATGAGAACACGTGGGTGTGTGTACATGTGTGCATGTGTGCATGCGTGCACCCCGCCTCCCCCACGACATAGCTGCACTTGCTGACTTTGTGCTATAGAGAAACATCAAAATAGTAAGCCAGGCACTGATAGCTCATACATGTAATCCTAGCTGAGATCTGAAAACCATGGTTTGAAGCCAGCCCAGGCAGGAAAATCCATGATTCCTATTTCCAATTAACCACCAAAAAGCAGAAAGTAAAGCTGTGGCTCAAGTACTATCCTTGAACAAAAAAAGCTCAGGGATAGTGTCCAGACCCTGAATTCAAGCCCCAGGACCAGCACCAAAAAAGAAATAGTGATGCACATTAAAGCCATCCCAAGGGGAATATCTCCCATATTAGCCTAACAGAGAGCATATGACTTCTTATTTTTCTTTTCTTTCTTTTTTTTTTTAGGTCTAAGACTGGGGCTTGCACTGGGTACCAGATGCTTTCACTCTACCAACTGAGCCATGCCTCCAACCCCAAGATTTATTTATTTAACTTTTTTTTGGGGGGGTCCAATCATAGGGCCTGAACTCTGGGCCTGGGCACTGTCCCTCAGCTCTTCAGCTCAAGGCTAGCGCTCTACCACTTGAGCCACAGCACCACTTCCAGCTTTTTTTTTTCTTTTTGTTTATGTGGTGCTGAGGAATTGAATCCAGGGCCTCAGGCATGCAAGGCAAGCGCTCTACCACTGAGTCACCTTCCCAGACCCCCAAGATTTATTTTTAAGGAGTGCTAAATTTAATTGTTTTACCAGTAATTTGTAATGTAAATAATTACAATATGGAATTATACACAGTAAAACATCCAAGTTTCCTTTTTATGTTCATGGTTTTCCTTTTCCAGAGTAAGTAACTTTTTTCTATGAATTGGCATTTATGTACACATCTCCTTCTCTCTCTCTACATATATATATATATATATATACATAATATATATAATTTTACATAATTGGGCATAATTTTCTAAAGCTCTCCTCAGAGTCTCTTTATTTCCTTGTGTCTCAAGGTCCCTTTCACTGGAACCATTCCTGCCCATGAATAAGTTCTGGACTTCTAAACACAAATTCTCAACTGTCTTCCTCCTGGAGATCTCATTTCTTTCAGTCTCCTCTCCTAGTGCCGCAATCATAATGCTTTAGATGTTCCAACTCCTTCTATGAGGACTTCTAGAATTCCCTGACCCATCCCAGTGCATCCTTTATTCATACCTGGGACTCTCCAGAGCCTTCATCATCAAAGAAATACCTAACAATGGTACCATCTGCATGACCAGAGAGGATCCCTTTCCCCGAACAACTAAAAAAGTAAAATAAAAAAAAAAGAGGAAAAGAGAAAAATAGAGGAAAAGATTATTCTATCTCTATATAAAGTTTCCTTTCCTTTCCTTTCTACCCAGCCTGTGGGTTTCCTACTATCAGGCCTCCCCATCTTTTACACTATGGACTCCAAGTCCAGAGTCCCCAGTAGCTTTTTCCAAGCCCTTGTGATACATTCTTCCTTACTCACTTGGTTGTCAGTGCCACTACATAAGAATCTGTCCCGTAGATGGTAGAAGATTTGTTAGTTTTTGTATTTGCTAAACGTACCTGAAAATGGGAAAATAGACACAAGTTTAGTTAGGCCATTCTGTATGTGTCTGTCTGCCTATCTCTCTCTCTCTTTCTCTCTTGTCTTGTTATATAACCCAGGTTGGCCTTGAATTAGCCACCCAAGTCCTGGGATTATGGGTATGCACCACCGTATCTGGCTTAGTTAAGCTACTTTCAACTTTATCTGGGTCTTTAGCAAAGAAATAAAAACTCAAGACACATAAATCAAATTGCTATGCATTTTCTTCCAAGTATACAGTTTTTCCCTAAAGGAGAAGATAGATGAACCATATTCCTCTTTCCATATGCATTATCCTTACCTACTAGCTCTCCTGTGTCTCCCTTCCCTACTTTACCTTGCCTTCAGCCAGTCCAAAGACTATGATGTATTCTGCAGGCCACTGCAAACAAGTCACAGCACTCTGTCCCAAAAGAAATGGTGAAAAGAATAATCCTACCTGTGTGGGATCAGATTTATAACAACTAGAACACCCCACCAGATACTACCACCCTTGTTTTCTATAAGGAATGAATGAATGAAAGAGGGGACACAACTAGGCTCTTGGGAGGAAAGCAGATGAAGATGAGAAGTCAGGCAACTCCATCATTACAGTAGGAGAACTTAGATTCAGATGTGAGAAAATGTAACTTCTGGTTCCATTTACACTGATACATATTTGATCATCTTAAGCTCCCAGGGTCTGGTCTGAACTTTACCGTCTGGATGAACTTGTTACAGATGACTTTCTTGTCACCCCTGCCAAATAAAAGGAGGGAAAGCATACTAAAAACCACTTCTGTAGATAGGTTCTTAAAGGATGCTGAGGGAAGGGAACAAAGACCAGATAACCTTTCCTGGACCATTAGTGTTTTCTATCCCTCTGTAGTAAACCTGAAAAGAAGCCTAAGAGGAAGCCTGAGAAGCCAACAATAGCAAGGATGCAACATCAAACTACATCCAGAATCTCGAAGGGGCCTTATGGGTTATTTTTTACTTTTTGAGACATGATCCTATAATATAATCTAGGCTGCCCTGAACTAATGATCCTTCTACCTCTGCCTCCTGAGTGCTGGGATTATATACACATGGTGCTCAAGCTCTCAGAACACTCTGCTAACTTTGTTTTGTTTTGTTTGGCCAGTCATGGGGCCTGGGCACTGTCCCTCACCTCTTCAGCTCAAGGCTAGTGCTCTACCACTCGAGCCACAGCGACACTTCTGGTTTTTTCTGCTTATGTGGTGCTGAAGAATCGAACCCAGGGCCTCATGCATGCAAGGCAAGCGCTCTACCACTGAGCCACCTTCTCAGCCCCTCTGCTAACTTTAGACAGCAGAATGTCTCCCCAAGTGAGACATTTCCTATGCCCCTGGGCCATGCCATCCCCCAGTCTCTATTCTCACCAATCTTCTCCAATCTTGTAGACATAGATGATGTTGTCAGTCTGTCCAATAGCAATTTTAGTGGAATCAGGGGAAAATGCCATGCCCTTTACCATGTAGCTCTTTCTGCCATACTAGGAATAAAAACAAAAGGAAGAAATAATGAATATACATGAAAAAGAGAAGAAAATGCACATGTCCTCTAGTAGGCCAACAGATTTATACGGAGAAAAGAAACAGTAGGCCATGGCTAGAAGACAGGTTTCCATGTTTTCCAGGTTTCTAAGGACTCATCAACTGGTTAAATAGATATAAATGCTCTTCACCTTCATGTCAGCTGGTTTGGTGGAGAATTTATCTCTCCGCTCTCCATGTTCATCATACAGTAGTACTACTCGGTCCACTGTGCAGACAGCAAATTTGGCATTGTTCTGTGACCAGGCCATGCAGGTGACCTTTGCAGCTCCATCCTGCAGTGAAAGGGATAAAATAAATGCAGGTGCTAGTCTAAAAAGCCAAAAGCATTTCCAGTTCCTTTGCTTTTAATGTGACGTTGGTTTACTTTCTGCCTGTCCCAGTTCTTTCCTTAAAGCAAAAAGAGGCTGTTATCCACATTAGTCTTTAAGGCCATCAGATCTTGAACTTGAAAACAATGTGCTTTTAGACATTCATGATTTAAATGTACCAATAGGGGCTGGGAAGGTGGCTCCGTGGTAGAACGCTTGCCTTGCATGCCTGAGGCCCTGGGTTCGATTCCTCAGCACCACATAAGCAAAAAGAAAAAAGCCAGGAGTGGTGCTGTGGCTCAAGTGGTAGAGTGCTAGCCTTGAGCTGAATTGCTGAGGGACAGCGCCCAGGCCCAGAGTTTAGACCCCACAACTGGACCCCCCAAAAAAAACATGTACCAATAAATCCTTGAAATGACCTTCTTGTTCTCTTATATCCCAGGCCTGATACTTAAATGAACTCAATTGGCTGAACACATTTTATTTATTTATTTATGTCAGTCATGGGGCCTGAACTCTGGGCCTGGGCGCTGGTCCTCAGCTCTTCAGCTCAAGGCTAGTGCTCTACCACTTGAGCCACAGCACCACTTCTGGCTTTTTTTGCTTATGTGGTGCTGAGGAATTGAACCCAGGGCCTCATGCATGCAAGGCAAGCACTCTACCATTGAGCCACCTTCCCAGCTGGACATATTTTAGTTTTTAGTAATTCATTCAATTAATCTTTTCAAGTAGTTAATATGTGAATAGTTAACATGGTACTGAAGAAAGGAGACCTGGGCAGGAACTGAAAGAGAAACAAGAAGTAAAACAGATCCTTTTCAGTACCTAATAAGATGGTACAAAGTTGAAGTCCCAAATGAGAAATACATACAAAGTGAGATAATAATCTGGAGAAGTCCACGATAATTTTATGCCTAACTGATCATAACTAAGCTTTGAAGAATAGGTGCGAGTGGGAAGTTACCTGGGGTAGAATTAGCCAGAGCTAAAATAGTTCAAGAAAGTGTTAAAAAAAAAGTTCAAGAGTTATTTAGTTTAGCTGAAACTGCCTGGTGAATAGAACAAAGGAGGTAAGGCAGGAAAAACTGACTAGGGCCAGCTCAGGAAGGGTCTTCGAAGCCAGGATAAGGAGTTTTGACTTATTTTGCAGGAAAGGAGAGAAAGTGAAAGTTTGAGATAGGGAGTAAAGCAGAGCTGAGACTTAAGATGAATAATGCCTTAACTCTCCACTTCTTAGAAGTCCAAGTTAGAAGTGATCATAACGTAATGAATTTTTATATGGCTCTCCTTCTTACCACCAAACTCTAGTCCTCTATGGTTTTGCTCCCCCCACCCCCACTTTTCTGACGAGGGGTTGAATTTAGGTCCTCACACTTCCTAGGCTTGTATCCTACCACCTGAGTCATGCTCTCAAGGTTTTCTCTCTTGAAATGAAAACTTTTAGCTTTCCATTCCAATTATTTGATTAATTACTTGTGTTCTAACACTGACTTAAGACATAGTCACTTTTAACTCTTAATCCACTTAGCTCCAAAGTCAGAAGTCAAAAGGCTTTTTGCCCAAATCCGAAATCTAGAGCAGAAAATAGTTATACCACCACAGTGCCATCCTATTATCCTCCATGAAATTAGGCTAAAAGGATTGAGAGGTCATCCACCTGGACTAATCATCTTCCTTCATAGCTGTGCCCAACCTTGGGCATTTGGCCCTTCCTGCATCATGACATCATCTTATTTTGAGAAACTGAAGAATACCAGTTCCAATTTTTCCATTAAGGCAAGGAAATTTTAAAATTAAGAGACTTCTGGGGCAGCGTTTTAAGCAAGGAGCACAACTCTTTTGTTCAGATTTTGTTCTGTTCTCAAAACACCACATTCTCATTTGTTGAGTCCCATAATCAATTGTCCTTTTTTCAAACAGGTTACATTGCACGGGCTGTCATAAGGACTAAATTAGGTAGGATTAGAATAATAGCAGCTAACCTTTAACAATCAGTCACCCTAGAATAGGCATTTTGATGTGTGCTTTACATGTATTATCTCATTTATCTCATAATTTGGAGGTGCCTCCTTTAAAGATGGGGAAACTTTAAGGCACCAAAGAGTTAAGTAATTCACCTACATTTACACACACAATTTGTAAGCTGCAGAACCAAAACTTAAGTTCATGTTGTCTGACTCCATAAGTCACAAACCTAACATCTTTAATTATACTGCCCTGGTAATATATTATACACTTAATCATGGTAGATATTTTTATTAGCTAGGTAATTTCGAATGCTATCCCTTCTTTATCAATTTTCATACTGCTTTTCACTTAACGATTTTTAAAAAATCATTTCATTTCTTTCCCAAGTCTCATAAAACTGCTACAGGGTAGAGCGCTCAGAGACACGTCAGGTTCTTACGGTCAAATTAGTGGTGGAGCTAGGGAGGACTTGTATTCTGTTCTACCGTCAGAGCCCACCCTTTCTGCACCATGTTCCAGGTCCTCTCCCAGTGCCCAGAGCTTTGGAATCTGGTGATGGGTTTCCATCAGAATGCAGATTCAGTCTTCTTCCCTCCCCCTTTAGGGCTTGCACCCCAAGAGCTTATTCCATTCTCTAGATTGATGTTCGCTGCCCACAGGTGCGTCTCTCCCTCGGAGGCTCTTGAAGGCAGGGAAAGTCCCGGGGCCTGGTACTCGACTGCTAGATGGAAAGTAATGAACATTACGGTCATTAGTGGTCAATTTCGCCTACTGAGAGCGGGGTCAACCGAGGAGAGTCGGGATCCTGACTGTAATCTTTCAGTGTTAGCACACAGTGGACGCCCTCCAATGTAAACTTCGGTTCCCTCACTTTTCTTGGAACGCTCGGCGGCTGCGGGAGGAAAGAGGCACCCGACTCCTCACCTGAGGGCTCAGCAGGGTCCTCAGGTGCTTCAACTGCATGACGCACACCTGTCTCTCAGATGCTACCAGACGCCGACGACTCGCGCGGTTACCCGGACAACCCGCCAAGCTGCGGCGGCGCGAGTCGCTGACGCACACGCGACGGGAGCACAACACACGTCACCAGGGTCACGTCGTAGGTTCGCTGCGGAGCAAACAGGACGTGCGCAAGCGCCGGGAGATATAAGGCGGGACCTCCAGAGGGCTTGATGAATCCTCTCCTTGGCCAATCACGCGACTGTATGCAAACCCCAGACCAAGCCTCGCCCACAAGTCTTTGGCACGTTCCAGGACCTACAGGAGGAAAATCCTAAATCTCTCTAGCCCTTGGATGATGGAAACGTGGTGGAGTGCACTCTCTTTAAAGGCTTCCAACTGTGGGAGGAAGCAAGGCAAATATGTTGTATGACTTGCTCGGGACCACAAAGCTAATACGGAGAGATCGAGTGGATACTCTGTATCTGTCTGCGGGGCAGTATGCAAAGTGTTATGCACGCCTTGTATTGTTTAATGTCAGAACACTTTTTGAAGGGATATCGTTATTAGTCCCATTTTATATAACAAGAGAGCCAAGATTAGTAGGGCCAGTTGCCCAAGTTAGCACAAGCTAACAAGTTAACACAAAAGTTGTTTGGGATTCAACCCTGAGCTGGTAATTTGAGTTCTCTTTATCTTCCTTCTTATGTTTTAGCTCACTATTTCCATGCCAGAATGCTCCTTGTAACACTCCCGTCCAAGAATGATTTTCTGAGTCTAAGGAGAGTTTTAGAACCACTAACATAGGATTACCTAATTGTCCCTACTTGGACATTGGATAATGAATGGTGAGTTTAAGACTGCTTGCTTAGATCAGGATGATTTTATTGGTCAGAGCCAAGGACAGACCAGAGTCTGGCTCACCTGATTTAAGTCTTGTGATACCTGGGGTTAGAACTTGGTTGAGACTAGTCTTGTTCTTTCTTTGGATTGGGGTTCCTTTCAGAATTTTTGGTTGTAACATACCAGAGAGCTTAAATGCAAAAAAAAAAAAAAAAAAAAAGCTGGGTCCCGGTGGCTCACGCCTGTAATCCTAACTATTCGGGAGGCTGAGATCTGAGGATCGTGGTTCAAATCTCGCCCAGGCATAAAAGTCCACGAGACTCTTATCTCCAGTAAACCACCAGAAAACAGGAAGTGGTGCTATGGCCCAAGTGGTAGAGCACTCACCTTGAGCTGAAGAGCTCAGGGACAGCGCCCAGGCCCAGAGTTCAAGCCCCACAACCGGAAAAACAAAACACAAAAAAAAAACTAACAGTTATTTGCAAGCCTCTTCTTGAATGATCTAAGGTTGGGAAGACCTCTGGAGAGTGTAGCATGTGTTCTCCAGGTCCTGTGTCCTGTAGCCTCTCTTTTACAGTGGTTGTTAAAGTAAATAGGTATTTCTCTCACTGTCAACCAGCTCCCTCTTGGGAATTAGGAAAGAGTAAAGGGCAGTCTCTATTTCCACAGGAAACAAATAGGTCTCAGAGCTCAAATTATAATCCTTTTGTCAGGGGAGTCCCAACCCCTCAGTTTTATTTTCAGAATCTTCCTCTGGACGTGTTGACAGAATGTGAACATAAATTCATTTATGCATTACAATTATTATTGAGTTTGACTGAACAGAAAGACAGAGAGGCAAAGTGAAAGGGAAAATAAAAGCAGGGAAAAGAGACACAAGAATGCACAAGATAAGAGTACACGACACAATGGGATCCATTAGTGTAGCTACTGTTTCCTGAGTTCCCAAGACGCTCCTCATTCCTTTTCTGACCATTTGCCCAGGTTGATAGAGGAGTCAGAATTATTGATGAAGAGCTGGGCCAATGAAGTAAGCAGTAAAGATTAAAAAAATAAAAGCTACTGGCCTTCTCATGTGCTACAACTTGGTTTTCCATGGGAAGAACTTAACATCTTTCTTCTCATCTCCCTCCTCCTCAACAAGTAAAAGAAACTAGGGCTCCAGTTTTCTATGTCCCTTCTTCCTAAACCATCTCCGCTTACTTCAGGCTGATGCATTGACACAAATACCTGACAATGAGTTTGCTTCTGCAAGTTGGTGGTGGTGTGAGGGGCCTTTGGAAAGTCTAGGGAAAGACAGGTGGGGACATGGCTTCAGCATACCATAGAGTCAGCTCCAGTTTATCCAAGAACCTTTATTGGAAAAATGTCTGAGGGGTGAGATCACCAGCAGCTGGAGGGGCTGCCAAGTGACAGGGGAGCACCAGAGGCTCCGTGGAAGACTTTGGAGTAGTGCAGTGCAGCATCTGCCCCCAGGCCCAGGCAATTCCTCTTATTCACTGGAGGAGGGCAAGTACCCACCCTCTCTGAGGCCCAGAGGCAAGACATGGGGACATCTGGGGATGCCAAGAGTCCTGATGTAGGTGAAATGGGGCCCCTTTGTGGGACCTAACGGGATAAGGTTGAACAAGTGACTTCCCCTGGACCTGGGGGGTGGGGGGAGATATTCCATCTGACATCTACTCCTAGGTCCTGGGATGCAGACCCTAACAGACCTACCTTCTGGCCCTGCTCACAGTGGAAAAAGAGGATGGGTACCAGCCTGAGATTGTGGGAGTGCAGTACTCTTGGGGAGTCTTGAACAGATCACCATCTTAGGCTCTCCCTGACCCCATCCCTATCCCCAGCTTGTTAGTGCATTTCTCTTCTGGTTTGTTCAAACGTCAATGGTGTTGATGGATGGTGACTTCTTCTGCAAAAGAAAGAAAACAGCCTGGGTCTCTAATTCTACCAACGTAATAGGTGCCACGGTGGCTCCTCTCTGGTTTCCTCCATCCCAGCTTTTCCTTTCTCCCTCTTTCTGGCCCTCTTTGGTCTTTTCCCATCCCCTGAATGCTCCGTTGCATCCATTACCCTTCCCACCCTCACTGTTCCTCATGTCACCTGTCTTGTCCCCACTGGCCTTTCCTGAGGACTCTGTTCTGGTCCCTTCCCTTTCTCCTTGGGATTGTTGTTGGAGTCATTGTCCTTGATGATGTCATACTGGCGGCAGAATAGTCCAATTACAGCTGAAAGAAAACAATACCATCTAAGCCTTAATCCTTTTTTTTTTTTTTCAGAGCTGAGGATCCAACTCTAGACTTTGCACTCTTCTACTGGGCTAAATCCCCAACCCAAGCCTTAATTTTGTTATTCACGCAAATTCTAGAAAAGCCAAGAAGGAAATCTTTGAATTTCTGTTGTGCATGCAATCTTTCTCTGCCAGCTTTCAGCAGCCTTCTTTCATTCTCTTTACATTTGTCTTGATCACACTTCCCCAACAACTATCTCCCCACTCTCTTTTCTCTTGACTCCTTCACCATCTCCCATTTTCACCCAGTCCCACTCCCTAAGTTCTTCCTTCCTTCCTTCCTTCCTTTCTTCTTTGGTTGGTCGTGAGGCTTGAACTCTGGGCTTGGGCACTATCCCTCAGTTCTTCAGCTCAAGGCAAGTGCTCTACCACTTGAGCCACAGCGCCACTTCCGGTTTTCTAGTGGTTTATTGGAGAGAAGAGTCTCACGGACTTTCCTGCTGGCTTTGAACCGTGATCCTCAGATCTCAGCCTCCTGAGTAGCTAGGATTACAGGCATGAGCCACTGGCACCTGGCTGAGTTCTGTTTCTTACCAGCCCACATGAGCAACACCACAACAATGATGACCACTTCCCCTGTCTGCAGTGGTCGCTCTCCATCCAACCCCTCCACTGTGATATCACCTGAGAAGAGAAGAGACACACGCTGGGATATAGGAGGCCTGCTTGAGAGCAATATCACATGCAGGACGGAGATGCTGGAGATTGGAGTCAGGCTAAACCCATCAGAGGGTCACCCCTGAAGCTGTAGGGTAGCCCTTCTCAGGGAGGAAGCTTTTGGTGGACAAGTGGTTAGAAACCAAGAGGCACGAACAGAACTCACTCGTGCAGGCTGCAGCTGATGTGATATGAGGCGGGGTGAAAGGAAGCTAAAAGCCCTTCCCCCAGAAGATTCATTAGCAGCTTGTCTATAGCTGGTCCTCTGCCCACCTGTTTTTCCTTCCTTTTCTGGCAGTACAATGAATTAAATCATCTTCCTATTCATCTAAGCTAGACTGATGCTTTGCCTGGGGGGTAGGGGTGGGGAGGGGGGAAGGAGTATGAATGAGAGGTTCAAAGCCAGGTGAGACAGATTCCACGAACACACACCCTCACCTGGGCTGGAACTGTTGGAAGGCAGCCGGTCAGAACCCTTGAGAGTTCGAAAGTGCACCCGGGGCCCTGGAGGGCTCTCTCCCCGGAGACCTATGCTCCTGACCTGCACTGTGTAGTCGCTGTCTTCAGCCAGGCCCCACAGCGCACAGGCTCTCGTGGTAGTGTTCACCTCCCTGATCACACGCTGCCCGGGGCCATTCTGCCTCTGCAGTGGGACGATAGGAGAGGAAAACAGCTTTGGCCCAGTCCCTGGCCACAGGCTCAACCCGAGACTGGAGCATCCAAGGGAGCAGAGGGGGAAAAAAAAGATCAGAACCCCCCCCCCCAGGAGGGAGTTGAGAGGGTGAAGGTAACCGAGGGAAGGCTAAGGCATGCTCAGAGCTCCAAGGACACAGGTTGGGGAAGCACAAGGGTGATTCATACTTGCTGAGAAATGGAGTAGCCAATGACGATGTTGCCTTCTGGGACGTCCCAGGACACCGTGGCCGAGTTGGCTCTAAGATGAGTGACCGTCACATTCACAGGAGAAGGAGGTCTGTCTGTGGGTGCCAGGGTGTTAACAGGTTTCACCCCCCTCCAACACCGGCTGACCCCCCCCATCCTCTGCACTCACCTGCTCGCACGAAGCCCAGGTCACAGCTGACCAGCAGGAGGACCGTGGGGCTTAGATATGGGGAGAGGGGCATCAGCGAAGCCATGGTCCCCACCGAGTCCGCTGGTGGGCACTGGGGCATCCACTTGTCATCCGGGCGGGGCTCCTGGAGGAGGCAGGAGTTGGAGAGGTCAACGAGCTGCCCGGAACGCTCAGTGGGACCCCAGCAGCCCATTCCCCCCCCAACGCCTTTTCCTCCCTTGCCCCCCAGCCTAACCCCGGCACCCCCTGTGCGCGGTTCACCCTTGGCCATACCCACCTTCCCCCCTCGGTCCTCGCGGTCGGTCAGGCCTCGGGGGGCTGTTCGGCGCCCAGCGGGCGGCCCATCGCCAGGACCGTAGTGCTGCCCT